TATATATATATATATATATATATATATATATATATATATATATATATATATATATATATATATATATATATATATATATATATATATATATATATATATATATATATATATACTGTGCTCGAAGTACGGCGGGATGCCATCCCTTTTATAAAGTATAAACCATCCTGCCACTTTTTCATAGATCTCTATATATAACAAAAATTAGGTGGGGTGGTATTTTTAATTTACCAAATACCATCCCATTACTTTTTTTTCTCCACTTTAAGCACTGTAAAAATACACAAATATTTTAAATGAATTCTACAAAATAGAAATATATATATATATATATATATATATATATATATATATATATATATATATATATATATATATATATATATATATATATATATATATATATATATATATATATATATATATACATATATATATATTAAATTTTTTAAAATAATAAAAGTGAGTAGCAATTGAATTAGAGATGGAATGTTAGATTTACTTTAGGTAATGACGCTGTTGAAAATTTTCCATAATTTTCTAGAACCTAAAATGAGATAAGATACAGCACAGAATTACATGAATTCTTTTACATGAATTCTTGCAATAATAAAATGAATTTTATTTACATGAATTCTTGCAAAAATAAAATGGCATTTGTTTTCAAGAGATACGTTTTTGTAAAAAAGATTTAAAAAATGATTATGTTTTAATATTGAAACTGCACAAGAAGGTGAAAAATATGGAGTAGAATGAGGCTTGATTTAAAACCAACAAAAGGGAATAAAAGTTTTTATACCTACTTGGATCCAGGAGGTTAGGTAAGAGGCGCCTTTATGCATTCATAATATGGGAAAATATGGGTATAAACAATATATTTGCTATTTATTTAGATGCTGACATACAATATTTTTACATATTTATATAAACTTTACTATTTATATGGTGCAGTATTTGCCCAAATAGAAGATGATGATCAGATGGATGTGTGGTATGGACTCTAACAAGACCAGAAAAGGAGCCATAACCTTAGACAGAAAAAAAATGTTGTATTGAACAGCGTTTGTCAAAAGATTAAAGTGGTTTGGATATCAGTATGTAGAGATGTAGCAGGTTTAGGAGAAAATAGTGAAGGTAGAAGTAAGAAAACTTGGAAAGAGTATGATATAAAAATATGGTATGAACAAGATGGTAAAACAAACATATGGTAAGGAAAGAAACAGCTCAAGATTACTCAAGAAATAAAAATTAAAGGATATAGCTTGATGATGATGATATTGATGATGATGATGATGATGATGATGATGATGATGATGATGATGATCATGATCATGATCATGATCATGATGATGATGTAGAAGAGGAGATGATAGTGATAATTTGTTAATCATGTTGGTCATGTATAAAATACATCCATATATATATAAAGTATAGCATAAATTTTGAATAAAAAAATTTTCTTTAGGATGTATTAATGTTTATGCAGCTCTGGTCACAAATCCGGCCTCGGCTATTTTTTTATCAAAGTTGGCTCCGCTCAAATTTTAGTCCTAGTCACTTACTATCAACAAGTTGTTAGCCATTTGTGTATTTAAAATATAATCTCAAGCTCTAAAAAATCATTGACTGTTGTATGAAAAAATAAACAATCGGATTTTGTAGGCAATAAAAGTCAATTTAAAACTCAAATTTGAAAAAGAAAGAGGTTTATATTTATGACAAATTTATAACTTTGCAAGAGTCATAAATTGCTCCCATAAATGGGTGAGAGCGAGAGCTAATATTTTTGCTTCACGTCAAGGCTTGCACTTGCAAACCCCAATACACAGCAAGAATAATACAATCTAGAAAAAATAGTTAATTGTAAATAGTTATAACAGCATGAAAGTATATAAAGAGTGGCCAGTGGTCCTTGAAATCCTTGAAAATCTAGAAAAGTCCTGGAATCTGATAGAGTCTGGTAAAGTCCTGGAAAAAAAAACCCTTTTAGCAATAATTCCTGGAAATCCTTAAACTTTTTTCTGAAATAGTTCAATATTTTGTTGTTTTACTTTTACAGGTTGTTATTAGTTTTGTGTATATTTAAACTGAGTTTGATAATTATGGATTTACTGTAAAAAAATTTTGTTTCATGTTACTGTCAGTGTTATTAACATCTACATAATTATTCAGTTATTTTTGATTTTCATATTTTTTCATAAATCAACATATTTTTTTTTTTCTTCCTAAAAAAAGATCAATATATCCTTGGAAAATCCAAAATATTCCTTTAAAAGTCCTGAAATTTTGAATTAGTTAATGGCTGGCCACCCTAATATAATAAAAAGTTAACGAAAGAAATTAATATGTTAAAGTGAAATTTGGTTTTTGTGTTAACAGGTCAAAAATTGATCTTTTAGGTTTGATTTCAGAACACTAAATTCAGACTTTAATCACAGTTATTTTTTGGAATACCTCAAAAAATTTCATAGATTCTATTTAAGAAACCTTGAGGTTACACAAAACTGTAAAAATTAAAATCCTGCAGGTGGCCCCTTTTTTAGAAAAGACATTTAAAGGGGGCAGACCTATGAAATTATTATGTTCAAGTGAAGAAACTTCCTGAAACGCTGCAAACCTTTAATTTTTACATACTAATACTAATATCAAATAATGATGTTCTGCCAAAAAATAATAATAATTTTGGGAACAGAAATTACAACACTTTCAGGGCACCAACCCCAAATAGGGCAAATAAAAAAATTTGAAAAATTTTTTTGTACAATCTTATAGTAAATGAAATTTGATTCATAAAATTCAAATTTAAAAAAAAATATATATTACAGTTTGAAAGTTATGACCAAAAAGCGTTTTATCCCCCCTCCCCTTTTTAAAAAAATGAGGAGATTTTAAATTTTACATGGCCGTAACTTCTAAAGTACATAAGATTTTTTTAACTTGAAGGTTTTTAATGAATTTCGATTTGGTTTAAGAAATTACAAAAATATTTTTCAAATGCACATGTCCCCCTCTCAATCAGGGCAGGTGGCCTCAAATTTTAGGGTTTTCTTGTTCTCAGACTTTAATCACAGTTATTTTTTGGACACATCTGTCTTTTTATAACCGTATTATGCCATGTGACTATACAAAAGATTTTAGTCTTCTATGCCTGTTAGTCTTCTAATGCCTCTTCTAATGTCTTCATAAGCCCCTTTATTGTTAACTGAATATCATAAGCTCCTTTATTGTTAACTGAATATCATAAGCCCCTTTATTGTTAACTGAAAATCATAAGCCCCTTTATTGTTAACTGAATATCATAAGTCCCTTTATTGTTAATATTAAAAAAAATTATAATAAACATTTTTTGTTTAGCTTTACTTAAGAGAATTTTATAAAATACAGCTCAATAACTACATGTTTATGCTAGAATAAGTTTCAGCAATTCGTTCACTTGTTTCATGGTGCTTCGAGCTAAGGACATATACATAAAATCTATTTACAACAGGCTTCATTTCTATAAAGCCTGTTGTAAATAGATTTTTTATTTTCATAGTAATTTAATGTTCCCAAAATTATTATTATTTTTTTATTTGGCTGAACATCATTATTTGATATCAGTATTAGTATGTAAAAAATTAAGGTTTGCAGCATTTCTGGAAGTATCTTCACTTCAACATGATAATTTCTTAGGTCCGCCCCCTTTTAATGTCTTTTCTAAAAATGTGCCACCTGCAGGATTTTAATTTTTTAAAGTTTTGTGTAACCTCAAGGTTTCTTAAATAGAATCTATAAAATTTTTTGGGGTGTTCTAAAATCAAACCTAAAAGGCCAATTTATGACCTGTGTGTATATCAACAATTTTTATATAGATTATTTAATTGCTATAAAATTATTTCAGATCTTGCTACAGTTGTTGGATTTGCTTCAATGGCAATTAGTTTTTTTTCAAACAAAGAGCGACACAAACAAATGCAAAGTTTTGAGATAATGGAGGTAGATTATTGTAATAAAACACTTTATATATATATATAAAGTGTTTTATATATATATATATATATATATATATATATATATATATATATATATATATATATATATATATATATATATATATATATATATATATATATATATATATATATATACATATACATATATATATATATATATATATATATATATATATATATATATATATATATATATATATATATATATATATATATATATATACTACAGGAGTAAAGCAAAGGAGTGCCACTACATTGACTGAAGGTTTGCGATAGAAAAGCAATTTTTTTTTTTTATTATTCTTCATTTTTTCTTCTTTTTCTGAAAATGCCATATGCTATAAAAATAAGCAAAACTAGTAACCAATTGCTGATCTATACCTGCTATATCAACCCTCAGATTTTGGTTGGCATTTGGCAATGCCGACCTAACTAACAGATTAAGGTCAGCAACCTTATTTTTCCTAATTCTGAAGTCTGGCCATATATATATGTGTGTGTTTTTATATATATATATGTATGTATATATATATATATATATATATATATATATATATATATATATATATATATATATATATATATATATATATATATATATATATATATATATAAGCTCTGCGAATTGCTCTAATTTATGTTTTTCGAATCATTTTTTTATTTGAATTACTATACAAACGGCATTAAAAAGTTTTCAAAATATCAATATTTATATTATCAGAAAATTTAGCGGTTGAGTAACTGAAACGTAAATGTACCTTTTTATTAAATTTAATTTCATTAGATTGTCGATTAGGGGTTTAAACAGAGCGGAACGCAAATTAGTAACGCTAAAGTTAGCTTTTATTTTTTGCGTCGTTAATGTTTGACTTTGCTTTCACTAAAGTAATTTTAAACTCGTAACTTTTCGTTTGTGCTACATCAAGATATTTTTGCATCAAGCTATAAAATGACTTCTAAAAAATCGTCAGTTAAAAAATTCTTTGAAAAAAAAGGAGTATTCTGGCAATGCAAACAAGAAAATTGCAACAAAAAGTATTCTGTTCATAAAACTGGAACTTTATCTCATCTATGGAACCATTTAAAACTTGACCATAAAAAACTACACATAGAAGCTACAAAAAAGCGCACATCTGCCACTAAAAGAAAAAAGAATTCCGATAACACAATCGAGCAATCATCAAGTTTGTTGTTAAATTTGTAATTTATTCGACCTCCAATAGATACAGTTATTAAAAAAAACTATGATCGTGCAGTGCTTAGATTTATAATTGAAGATGGAAGATCATTTGAGACAACTTCTGGATCTGGCATTATTAATCTGTGCTCGGTGCTTACTCAAGGGCAATATCATCCACACTCCCACTATATCCACCACAATATCATCCACACACCCAATATATCCACCACATCCAACCACTTTATCTTAAAATTTAGGTGATATGGTCAATTGCTTATATATTAACTTCCAACAAAGTATAAAAAGCCAGTTTATCTCCAAACCTAGCATCACTTTTGATCACTTTAAAGCTGACAATGGTGATAACTTTCTTGTTTCTACTTGTCACTTTATTTCATCCTCTTGGATTTTAGAATCATGCTGTTTATCAGTTGTAAATCTGGAAATAATAAATGCTTGTCACAAAGCTACTTCCACTGAAGAAATTTTAAGAAACGTGTTGTCTAAATTTGACTTGACTTCAGATAATATTTTCTGAGATACAACCGATACTACTCCTAGTATGCCATGCACACTTAAACTTCTTGGAATTGATTGGCTAGGCTGTTGTGCTCATAAACTCCACCTTTGTGTGAAATTAGCTATACACAACCAACCATTTCTTGTTACATCAATTAGCAAGGCTCATAAAATAGTAGGATTTTTTCACTCATCATCAGTTGGACAGGCAGCTCTCAAAAAGTCAGATTTCTCAAGGAAAACCTGATTCAAAGCCTCCAATGGATGTGGAAACGCGCTTTAACAGCACTTCTAACTTATTGGAATGGATTTAAAAAAATCATGATTCTATAGTAATTGCTCTAGTTGAGTGTTCACAAAAAAAAACTGTATGAAAGTGCCACCGACTTGTCTAACTGAAACATAAGTGCAATTATTAACAACAGTCACTCCTATTTTAAATGCAGTATCTGAAGCCACTACTATACTAAGTGCGTAAGCATTAGTTTAGTTTATCTCTGCATTACAACTTTGAAAAATTATCTTCGCTTAATGGATAAAAGAGGGATAGGTAAATTTGTTGAGGATCTTACTACGCAGTTGGAAATTAGGTTTGATTTAAGTGAAGACGTTTTTCTTACCGCTACTTTCTTAGACCCTCTATTTAAATCAGAAATTGTTATTTTTGGCAGAGATACAAATTGTAAAATCTTTTCTAATGACATCTGAAAAAAAAATACGATTTAAATATTACTATGATTCCCGCTGAAATTCAACTCGAAGTAGCAAATTTGTAATCTGAAGCAAATGGAACTTTTGAATGTTTGAACCACTAAAAATTGTACTCTACTAGAGAAAAGAACTTCAGCAATTTTGAAACTACTGCATACATTGAAGAGAAAATGTTGGGACGTTCAGATTTTTCTATTCTGCTGGAAAAACAAACGTAACATTTTCCCTTTATTATCCAAAGTTGCAACTGATTTTCTTGCTGTTCAAGTTAAAAATTGTTCATCTGAAAGAGTTAACTCTGTGGGAGGAGGAGTGATCGACAGTAAATGCAATAGTCTTTCCGAGCGAAATGCGGAACAGTTAATTTGGGCTAGAAGTAACAAAAAGAGTTTGTTCAAATAACATTCAATTTTTGTAATACTTTATATAGTATACTTAAAAATAAAGATGAAAGTTTAAAATTAAATTTCTTTCAACTAGTGATTTGATTCGTGATTCGATTTGATTTACGAATCAAGACCTAATATATATATATATATATATATATATATATATATATATATATATATATATATATATATATATATATATATATATATATATATATATATATATACTAGGGTGCATCAAACGCCCCATACTTTCAAAAATTGATCTGTCTCTATTCTTAAAACTTTTTATTGGTACTCACAAGACACTCTGTTAAATTTTTTTAAAATTGAATGAGAGTTAGGGGGGTCACCTCAAATCTGAAGCTTGCGACGAGACCCTAAACAGAAGAAAAAAAAGTTTTTCAAATGTATGTCGTGTTGGGTCTCAAAAGAAGCAAAATTTTATAAAAAAATTTCAAAAACAATAAAAATTTTACATAATATTTATTATTATAAGTTTTATTGCATAAAAATTATTTGCTAGCAAAAAATTAAAAAAAGCCATTTTTTTTATGGTTTTTGGTCAAAAAATTTTTCAAGGTATTTTTAACAAAAAATAATTTGAAAAACTTTTTTTTCTTATATATATATATATGTATATATATATATATGTATGTATATATATATATATATGTATATATATATATATGTATATATATATATATGTATGTATATATATATATATATATATATATATATATATATATATATATATATATATATATATATATATATATATATATATATATATATATATATATATATAAATATGTGTATATATTTATATATATATATGTCATGTTCCACAACGGAAAATGTTAAAGTAGTCAGTTTTCAAACTCCTTTTTTGTCAGTCTGATCATACAATAGATGAGCATTAAAGTAGGCACATGAATGTTTATTAATATTTTTAATAATTATTATAAAACATTAAAAACAAATTTAAGTAAAAGTAACTTTTACTTTAGTTGTTTTAATGGTTCAGAAAGCCATCATACTTTCTAATGTCATATGATAAAAAACTCATCATTGTAAAATATTATATTCACAGTGAATATAGTTTTATAATTTGATTTCTTTTACTCTGGCATCTTCAATTTATTGTTGATGCCAGAGTAAAAGAATATTGGTCAAATATTTTACTCTTTTTCTGAAGAAAATTTCGAAAATATAACAAAAGAACTTTTTGAATTTTTGTTTAACTTAAGTAGAACAATACACAATAAAGTTACGTTTTTCTAAAAGTCATAAACCTGAAATTTTTTATTAATATATTTGTTTTTATTGAATGTTATGTTTTTATATTTTTTTATTGTTTTGAATAAAGATGCTTAGTTAAAGTATCTTTATTTTAATTTTAATTTTAAATTTGTGCAATGCAAGTTAAAAATTTGCAAGTTTATATAAAATTTTTGGCTCTTTTAAAAATATTATATTTATATACATGACAAAATTTAAAATTTAAAATTTAAAATTTCCTCTTGCTCTTCAAGAAAAATTTTCAATTCAATAACTTTAAAAACAATAAATTTCAATTCAATATCTTTAAAAACAATAAATTTCAATTCAATAACTTTAAAAACAATAAATTTCAATTCAATAACTTTAAAAACAATAAATTTCAATTCAATAACTTTAAAAACAATAAATTTCAATTCAATAACTTTAAAAACAATAAATTTCAATTCAATAACTTTAAAAACAATAAATTTCAATTCAATAACTTTAAAAACAATAAATTTCAATTCAATAACTTTAAAAACAATAAATTTCAATTCAATAACTTTAAAAACAATAAATTTCAATTCAATAACTTTAAAAACAATAAATTTCAATTCAATAACTTTAAAAACAATAAATTTCAATTCAATAACTTTAAAAACAATAAATTTCAATTCAATAACTTTAAAAACAATAAATTTCAATTCAATAACTTTAAAAACAATAAATTTCAATTCAATAACTTTAAAAACAATAAATTTCAATTCAATAACTTTAAAAACAATAAATTTCAATTCAATAATTTTAAAAACAATAAATTTCAATTCAATAACTTTAAAAACAATAAATTTCAATTCAATAACTTTAAAAACAATAAATTTCAATTCAATAACTTTAAAAACAATAAATTTCAATTCAATAACTTTAAAAGCAATAAATTTCAATTCAATAACTTTAAAAACAATAAATTTCAATTCAATAACTTTAAAAACAATAAATTTCAATTCAATAACTTTAAAAACAATAAATTTCAATTCAATAACTTTAAAAACAATAAATTTCAATTCAATAACATTCATAAGTTTGTATGAAAAATCTTTAAGTAATAGAGTGACCAATTTTTTGTTAAACTTGAATGAATGGAATTTCAATTTTGTTTCATAAATATTAGGTACTCCATAACCATTGAAACTTGTGTTTAAATAACAATAATCTTGTTTTAAATGATAATAATATAATAAGTCGGAGCTGTAACAACTGAGAACAGATGTGGAGTACAATAACATAAGATATTGTACTATAACAGCTAATATTAGTTTTTGAATAATTATAGTGTTTTATCTCTGCACAATTTGTCGAGGTAGTCCTTGAGTTTGTCAATTGAGTCAGCGTCTACGATTTCATTTGTCAAGCTATTCCATGGATTAGTTACTCTGTTGAACAAAAAGTATTTTGATGAATTACTTAAGTTTGAAGGTGTGTTTATGTTAATTGGTGTAAATGTATATTTATTTGGTTCATCTGGGTTATTTCTTTTTAAAAGGTTAAAACTGCGCTGTGTTTGAACGTGTGCATACCACTTGTACTGCCACCAGTAGCTTAAATTGTTTTTTAAACATTTTTTGCATTGACCTGCACTTCCATTTTGTACCCCTATAAAATAATTCAATGTTGAATTTTTATCCACGACTGAAAAGCTTAAACACATAAATACTAAAAACTAAATATAAAAAGGTAAAAAAAAAAAGAAATCACATTAACTTTAAGTTATTTGATTATTAAGTTATTGATTAACTTTAAGTTAAATTAATGGGAAGAAAAAAAGAATATTATAAATTGTATTTGTATATGTTAATCATTTATGATTGAAAAATGGAAAAATGGGAAGAAGACAAGACAATATGCAGACAAAAGTAGACAAATGTAGTTGGAATATAGTTGGGATATAGTTAAAGTCGAAAGAAAGTCATGGTCACAGTCAAGATTGAAGTCGAGATTGAGATAGATGGTTAGTTAATAGAATTAGTCAACTATAAGAAGCGATAAAGGATTAATTTATTCAAAGAAGAACTGGTTAAAGAATATTATAAATTGTATTTGTATATGTTAATCAGTTATATTTTATGTTTAATTGAAAGTTACTGTGTAGCAGTTGGAGTAATCTATTACATAATATTTTATAATAATTAACCGCGTAACATTTGAATACGGTTCAGTAATTGTTTATACGTAAACACTTGTGTAACATTACTGAGTAACATTTAGAGGCACTGCCCGGATTTCGTCTCTGCTTGGGCCAATCAGTTCACCTATAGAAGAAAATATTAACTTTTGTTTATTCTGTTATTTTGCTTGCACTAGATTACTTGAGCGGAATTGCAACGAGTATTACTAACTGTGGTAACTTTGTTGTTCATTTCTGAGCCGTCTACACTCTGGTAAAATATCCCCATTTACTGAAGCAACTCATTGTCCAGACATATCCATTTAAACAAAACGACAACCCTTCTCCAAAGAAGAGTACGAATATGTCCCTGGAACAAATTCTAGAATGCTTGGCAACAAAACGTATTCAGGAATTGCAACCTAAATCTTTTAAAGGTACAGAGACAGAGGATATCAGCGAATAGCTAACCAGTTTCTGTCGCATAACACTCCACAACCAATGGACAAACGTGATGAAATTAATTGCACTTATATTTCGTAGGTAGTGCCTTACAAAACCCTTGCTGCTCACATTAGGAATGATTTTCCCCAGCTTCAAGAACAATTGCAACAATATTAAGACAATGCAAGTATAGCATGAAGCCGAAATATGGAAGTATTTGGTTTAATGCAAGATGCTGACCTTACCTCCTATATTAACACCCTAGATAAACTCAGTCAGTAGCTTGGTATAGATGGCAAAACAAAACTAAATTTGTTCATCAAAGGTTTGAAACTCAACCTACGCGATGCATTAAAACTTGAGCAATCTGTCAACTATCAAGCAGCAGTGGCGTTAGGTAAATTGCAAGACACAATTGTGTCAAATCCAAGAATCTCTCGATTGGAAGCCAAGCTAGATGCACTTTTTAATCCCCCAAAACAAACAGTTGTGGCTTCTACCTACAGCAAGCACCCAAACGTAAATCAGCGTATTAGTGAATTACAATCAGAAATAGACTCAATAAGGCGGAACAATAACCCAGCACAAGAGACTTCATCCAACTGGACACAACTACGTACCAATGATGGGCAGGTAATATGTAACCAATGCCTGAAAGTAGGACACACCCAAAAGTCGTGCATTGACCGAACCTTCCTGTTATCAGAAAAAACTATTATCAATATATATCGCCACAACCTAACCGCTGGAACCATGATACACAAAACTCGACTTTATTTTGCAATACTTCTTTCCTGAACAGACAGTTTCGAAACAATCAACCAAGAAACATTCCACATTCAGATTCCCCAGCAACACACCAACACACTGGAATCGGATCTGGAAGAGAACCCTGGTTCCAAAATCTGGGGTAAAGTATACAAATTTAAGGTTTTTATTCTTATGGACACAGGTGGTAGATGCAATATATTACACGAAACCATCTTTGAAAATATTAGAAATCAAGTTGACAAACCTCGTCCCTTCTATGGTACTTTGAGAACTGCTAATGGAGCGCCACGCCATGTCTTTGGAAAAATTGTATGCCCCATTAATATTGGAGGTTATATATTTGAGCATGAAATGCTTATTGCTAAAAATTTAACCCATCCAGTAATTTTAGGCTACAACTTCATGAGCTGGTTTAACATCGGATTAGACGGATTAGACAATAATCTTATATTATTGCCATGCCCAGAAGGTCACCCTCACATGCCAATCAAACTTCTTTAACCAAAGGTCAAAAGAGATAAATTCGAAAAAGTAGCTGGCCCTAATGCATGGAGACCGGTAATTTCAGACAAATTGAATAAACCCAATTTAAATTATGCCTTGCCTTGTCTAAAACAGTTTCAAAAACACTTGGAAAACGAGGTTATATTACTGCCACAACAAGATCAGTCGACTTCAATGTAAATAAAAGAAAAAGATATTCTGCGCATATTTGTAAGTGTCCAGCTTGTAAGGCTGTCCACAGAGACTAGAGGATTACTTGTTAATGGCAGTGGCATGAATTAGAGTTTTAATAATTCCCATATGAAGATTTGGATTGCCTCCAACCACCATGAGTTTTGTACAAAGTTAGTCGCGTTTTACAAAATGTATAGTTTAATTTGAGATTTCGCTGTTTATTGATTCTGCTGTTTATTTGAGATATTATTGTTTAACAGAAATTTTACTGATTCTACTGTTTATTCAAGATATTGTTGTTTTGCAGATATTTATTGATTCTGCTGATTATTGGAGTTATTGTTGTTACATAGGCTTTATTGATTCTGCTGTTTATTTTGTTTTTTATTGTTTTACAAATTTTACAAGTTCTGATGTTTTGATGGCCCTTTTAAGTCTGAGGATGGACTTTCTATTTTGGTAAGTAATGTTACGGAGGTCTCAAACAAAACTACTCAAGTAACTGAGTAACAATATTCACATATTTACATAAATTTCCTATAGTTCTTTATAAAAAGCCATATCAAAATACTCTTTCTCACCATTAAATCAGGTTTAATGACTGCCATGAGTTCTGTGTAAACACAAATGAGCATTAAGTTGCTCAATATATAGTAAGTCAACTAACACCTGTATTTTTTAGTTTTCACTAAACATTAAGCATAAGTGTTGGATATCATATTTTCAAAATAATAGCAGTGTATCTTTTTTAGGAATACTATGCTACCGGCAGGATTGTTTTAAGAATGGCTGAAGCACTTGGTAGACTGTCTCTAGCTGGAAGAGAATTAACTAAGTTATCTGGGTGAGTTTATATTTTTCATGTTAGTAAACTTAATAATTTTTTTACAATTGTATAAACATCTGATTAGTTATCTCTAGTTAATTTTTTCTTTTATTAATGTTATAAAAATCTCAAACATAAATACTGCCTCTCTCTCTGTCTTTAACAAAAGTTTACATTTTATCTTGAAGTAATACAGGGGCTATTCTAAGAAAATAATTTAGGCAGCGGTACCCCTTTTTTTCACTTTTGCCCCCTTTAAAAATTTAATTCAAAGTAAGCCTCAAGAACTATAAAAAGCGCAAAAAAAATTTTCTGAAAATAAAACTTAATTGACTACAGCTTACATGGTTTAACTTGCATTTTACAATCTTTGAAACTTTTTTTTTTTTAAACTGAATAAAACCTTTTGTCTAAATGAATGAAATTAAATTGATAAAATAATTTTTTATATTTGTTAACATATTTGTTCAGAGAAAAAATTTATATAAAAAACAAGTTTATTTATATTTTATAGAAAAAACTTATTAGGAGAATGAAAAAAAAAATACCTCAAAGTCAATATAAATAGTGTAAATAAAAAAAGTAGATAATAGATATAGTATAATAAAAACTATGATAAGAAAAAAATAGAAATAAAAATAGAGAAATATAACTATAAATACAGTATAATAAAAACTAGATAGACTCAAAAAAAACCTTTCAATACCTTTTCTTTATTTTGTTCACACGTTTAAATGACTTTAAAAATGTTTTGACTAATTAAAAATGTTAAAACAAACCATGTAAATTAATAAACTAATTTGATTAATAAAATAAATTTTCTGTAACAAGTTGTTGAAATTTCCTTTGTTTTAAAAAGCAAAGAAAATGTTAATAAGTTTGATAAGTTGATAAGTTTGACATTAATGTTGAAAAAAATCTAACACTATTCTAAAAATAAAGAAAAGCAGCTTTAATATAGTTTAAGTTTTAATCCTATAGTCAATGTTTAATGTTTCAATACATATAGTATAAGTTATGTCAAGTAGTTGATAGTGGAATTCTGCCCCAAATATGTTCAACGCTATTGAAAAGGGTCTTAAATAGCCCCTGTAATTATATATATATATATATATATTATATATATATATATATATATATATATATATATATATATATATATATATATATATATATATATATATATGTATATACACATACATACATATATATATATATATATATATATATATATATATATATATATATATATATATATATATATATATATATACAACCCTCGGAATTAGGGTCGGCATTCGGCAATGCCAACCTAACTGCCAACGTGAAAGTGTGAGCTAAAAGTGTTTGAGGTCGGTAATTTATTGCCGACCTTATTTTTCCTATTTTCGAGGGTTGATATATATAGTGTGCACTAAGAGAATCAAATATATATATATATATATATATATATATATATATATATATATATATATATATATATATATATATATATATATATATATATATATATATATATATATATATATATATATATATGATTCTCTTAGTGCACACTATATATACATATATTTATATATATATTTGAGCAGCAACCACAATGGTATTTGTAGAAAAGAGAAAGGTGCAACCTTATATCATTGTCATTTGGTGTTTACTTAATGTTAGCAATTTTATTATTTGTAAACAACCTTGAAATGTAACACCAACTATTTCAAATATTTATTGATTGGTTTGCTATATAATTAATTAGTGCTGTTGATATTTTTATATTAAAGAATTTTTATTGAGTCCTCTACCTTATCTCTTTTCAGATTATTTTTCACAACTGGTCTCTTCACACAACTGGTCTCTTCACACAACTGGTCTCTTCACACAACTGGTCTCTTCACACAACTGGTCTCTTCACACAACTGGTCTCTTCACACAACTGGTCTCTTCACACAACTGAAACTATATATCTAAATCCATTTAACATCTGCTAAATTTGCCTCTCTTTAATATGTTTGCCGTTTTCTTACTTTTAATTCCTTTTTCTACCTCTCTAACTTATTTATGTATAAATTACTGTTGTAAATCAAATTACTGTTGTTTTTCAAATACTTGCATTGCATTTTTGGATCTTGTTTAAAAAAGTAAGCCCATGATTAGAAAAACATTCTTTTAAAGAATGACTTTTCTTTTTCAGAAAAAGTTCAAAAATGCACTGTAAATGTAGTAGGACCTGCTCTAGCTGTCCAACTGGAACCTCTGTCCAATTTAAGGTTGCATTTTTTTCTCTCTTCCACAAATAATACCATGGTTGCTGGCTAAGCTTTTTTCTATTGTTACATCAATCTAACGGCAATTTTTTAAAGATTTGTCATTGAGCAAACTCTTACTGTTTTCTTGTAAATAAAATGATAAGACTCCTAAAATACAAAAACAAAGTAGAAAGAAAAAGTTTTTGACCAGTAAATTCTACTGATAACAAAGTTATCAAAACTATTTGTTACAAATGTATACAAAATAAAATTAAAGAAATGAGTTGAATATATTTTAATTTTTTTTTTTCAAATACAATCTATGAATTTTGAAATATCAGCAATGATTCATGTTTATATTATTGAGGATGTGCAAAAATAGTGTTTATATTTATATTATTGAGGATGTGCAAATATAGACACTTGGTTTTTTAATATTTTTATTTAGCTTTGTTTTCAAAAAACGGTTTTCTAATTTTTTTTTGCTATAAACAATTCTTTGGAATTTTCTCCTGTTTTTGTGTTTTCCTCACTTATACAATTTACTATGTTTTCCTCACTCATACAATTTACTATTGTAGTCTTTTGTCTCTTGTTGTATTTCTCTTTAACTCTCTTCTTCACTAACAAAACATAAAGTTATTCTCCACATTAAGTTATTCTTCTTCACTAACATATCATTCTCTCCACATAAAGTTATTCTATTAACATGTTATTACCACGTAATGTTGTAACATTCACTGCAAAACACTTTGATAAAGACATGTGGGTTTTACATGAGTATTTTTGTTACATTTTTAAAATGTTAAATGTCCTGAACTTTTAAATGCTTTTAAAATCTGTTTCAATCTGATTCAATTTTAAAATATCTAAAGCACACAAAATGCTTTTCTTTTTAGCTATACATCAAGAGTTATACTGCTTATGGATGTTCTTGATGATGTAAAACAAAACCGTTATGTTCGAACTCAAGTTAAATCAGGTAAAGAGTTTTAATTATATTTTCAGATATAAAAAAACAAATTTTTTTAAGTTGAATGTAATCATAAATTAAAACAAAATGTTTGTTTAGAGTGCTAAATTGTTACCATGGCACCTTTGTTCTCTTTAGACTACTTTATTCATAGTCCCCGAGTCTGAGATATCTGTCATATTGCCTAAATATTCAAAGTATTTTTAATTATTTTTACACAGGCATATCAACTATTCAAAAAATCTGTTTTGAATAAAGTTGAAAGTAATGATTTGATTGGCTTATTAGAAATGTCAATTGTTGGTAATGCTCTATAACATTGTATCCAATCATTTCCAAAACTGTTATTTGAAAAGCTCAAAATGTTGTTATATTAAGATTTTGTATTACATTTGCTATTGGTTTTGAGTTTGTATTTTTTGAAAATATTAAATTTCTTTTTAAAAAGATTTTACTGCCACAGGTTGTGGACTAGTATCTATTAAAAATAGGTTCCAATATAATGCACCTTGTTTGTTTGTTATATTATTCAACTGACATAAATTCAATACATTTATTTCTTTTTTGTATACTTTGTTAACAATAGCATTTACTGGACAAAGACTCTGTTCTCCAGGTTGACTTAGGCTTTCATCAATGTTTAATCTGTTTGGATATGTAAATGATAGTTATTGCAAAATATTTTTAAACATTTAAAAGAATTTTTCAAATGCAATTTATAAATTTCCAAATATAAGCAATGTCTTATATATCTATATTATATAAGTATGCTATTGGGTGTGTGCAAAAGTATGCTGTTTGGTGTTTGCAAAAGTACGCTATTGGGTAACCCTCAGAAATAGGAAAAATGATTTATTACCTTAAGCTCTTAGAGGTCTGCATCAGATTGGCAAAAAAAGTTGGACACTAAGGTTTAACCCTAAAATATAGAAATGAGGCTAGTGAATTTTTGCCATTCTTAAACACTTTTAGGTCAGCAGTAAGGTCAACATTTATGAATGCAGACCCTAATTTTGAAGACTGCTATTGTGAGTGCAAAAGTACACTATTGGGTGTGTCCAAAAGTATGCTATTAGGTGTGTCAAAAAATGAATAGACACTTGCATTTTTAATACTTTATTAGAAAAAAATTTAACTTAATTATGTTTCATTATTGTCTATGAATGTTTGCTAGGAATGCTTTGAGTTCTTATTTTAATAAACAATATATATATATATATATATATATATATATATATATATATATATATATATATATATATATATATATATATATATATATATATATATATATATATATATATATGTATATTTATTTATTTATATTAAATGAATAAAAACAACTTTTGATGAAACTCTGAGTTTCATGCCTTTCGGCAATCATCAGCCATTGTGTATTTCGTCATTAAAAACCGTTTTAAAATTACAAATTAAAATTACAGTGGAAGGAGTTCTGACGTTACCAAACAAAACAAAACAAAACAAAAAGACGTCAAAGGTTTTAGAACTTGTTCCACTGTAATTTTAATTTGTAATTTTTAAACGGTTTTTAAGTGACGAAATACACAATGGCTGATGATTGCCGAAAGGCATGAAACTCAGAGTTCCATCAAAAGTTGTTTTTATTCATTTAATATAAATAAATATTGCTCTATTATTTAATAGTATTGAGCACTCTTAAACGCACAAGAGTATTTGTATTATTATTATTATACCATAATAATACATTTTCTATTTTGTATATATATGTATATATATATATATATATATATATATATATATATATATATATATATATATATATATATATATATATGTATATATATATAGTACTCGAGGATAACTATATATGTGCATAATATTTTAAGATGTAATATATTAAGTAGGAAAAAAAATTAATTAATAGCATTAGAGGTTATTTATTAGGATTAGTGGTTAGTTGGATCAAATTCATTAGCACTTTCTGCACATATATTAAGATCTATGCCAGTTGTTTGTACTCTAATTTACCTTCTCACACCCGTCTAGATTGGGTGTGAGCAGATAAATTAGATTGGGTGTGAGCAGGTAAATTAGACTGAGAGCATTATTTAAATTATTAAAATAAAGTTTATTTTAATAATTAAAAAAAGTTATATTCTAACACTATTTTTTTTTTAGTAAATTTATGTTTAAAAGTCATCTGTAATAAATTACTTAATTTTGTTTCAAAGTCATCTGAAATAAATTACTTAGTTTTGTTTTAAAGTCATTTGTAATAAATTACTTACTTTTGAAATAACATTTACTACTTGCTTATATCACCAGCCCAGTCATACCTGTTCAGTATGTCATTAATGGGGTTTTCATATGAAGCTATTTTTGGCCTCCTTATGGTTTCTGAAAAGCAGTGGTTTTTAAAAAACAGTTTTCTGTTTTTTATGTTTATTGAAATTCAGTTAAAATTAGCGAAAGTTAAATTTATATAATTATGGCATAATGTAGCACTTATATTAGTATAGTTTGAAGCATTTTGCTACATTGGACAGCATAGTTATGCTACATTGGACAGCATAGCACTTATGTTAGCATAGTTTAAAGCTTATAGTTTAATATTTTAACTACATCATAATACTTTAAACACATGATTTTATTAAATACTTTAAATTATATTTAGTATTTTACTTTTTTAAATATTTCAAAAATTCAAGCGCTAGTAATTGGATTTAATCAAATCCATATATCTTGGCTTACTTCCTAGTAATGTATCCATAAGCTTCTATAATTTTTTTCTTTAACCTGCATTTTTGAAAAGGGTAAACTACTTGAAGTCATCTTGTTCAGAATCTACTGCTACTAATGATTCATTTATCTAAATCAATACAATATTTGAAAAGTTTAATTTCTTATTTCTTAAATATATCAGAAAAATTTTTTTTAGTGTTATATTTCAATTGTTATTAGTTTCAATAACTTCAAGATCAATTTGTTCAGCAGCTTTAGACATTGATATCGTAGCGACTTACTGATATGGTAGGGTTCTGAAAGTTGATTACTAAACTCATAAGTTTCAATGTTCAAAACTTGCAAACACTGAGTTATTATCAAATCAGAGATTAAGATATTATCAAATCAGAAGTCTATTATTATAGGTATTATCAAATCAGAGATTTCTCAATAAGGAAGTCACCAATAGTTTTTGTCTCTTCTTCTCACAATTTTTCAAGTGGTTTTTTAAGATAATTGTATAATTTTTTGAGCACTTTATAATTTGATTCAATGCTGGCTTTGTCCTTGTATCTCTTTTATCGTTGAATTTTCCAACTGTTTTTGGCATAAACCAAGACATGCTGGCATAGCAAGATATGCTGGCATAGCAAGACATGCTGGCATAGCAAGACATGCTGGCATAGCAAGACATGCTGGCATAGCTAAGATGTTAAACAGTTTTGAATTTGAATTTTATTTTCAAAAAAAAACCAACTGTTCACCATTTTTAATATTTTCAAAAAGTACTTTTACTGTTACTGCAACCAGAAACCCTCATATACTGTATCTAAGTGTTGTATAGTACTGTATCTAAGTGTTAGAAAAAACTTTGAGATCCTTTAAATAGCTTTTTTCTTTTTAACTTGGTGTAAGGCTAGCCTTCTTTCAGTTAGCAATTGTCAAACAGAGATAAATTAATTATATTATCTGGTTAGTATCTATTCTTTTTTTTTTTTTCAGATAATAAAGATAAAAATGAAGATGAAGTTTGTGGAGAAAAAATTAAAATGGATACTGCCTTTGAAGGTTTAATCTTTGAACAAGATCATATTATTCGCTTTGATAAGGTTCCACTAGTAACACCAAACGGAGATGTTTTAATAAAAGAAATGTCTTTTGAAGTTGTGGCAGGTCGCAATGTTTTGGTTTGTGGTCCAAATGGTTGTGGAAAATCATCTTTATTTCGAGTTTTAGGAGAAGTAAAAAAAATTTTCAAGAAAAAATAGTGTTTTTCTGTGCATTTTTTAAATTACTTTTTGGTCACTCTTCATTTGTTAAATATTTTATATTTTATAGTTATGGCCAGCTTACAAAGGTTCTGTTACTAAACCTCATGCTGGAAAACTCTTTTATGTTCCTCAACGACCATATATGACAATTGGAACCTTAAGAGATCAAATTATTTATCCAGACTCAATTGGTCACATGAAAGTTAAAGGAGTAAAAGATAATGATCTCAAAGTTATGCTTGATAAGGTTATTTATTTATTACTTTGTGGTTAAAGTTATTTATGAAATTGTTAAATAAAAGTTATTGTTTATTATTTTTTGAACTTTTTTAGGTTCACCTAGGATATATTCTTGAACGTGAAGGAGGTTGGGATAGTGTCCAGGATTGGATTGATGTGCTTAGTGGAGGAGAGAAACAACGAATTGCTGTTAGTTAATAGATTTTTTTTTTTAATCTTTTATTTTTTAATGAATACTGTTATGATATTATGTTAAAAGTTAGGTGTCTAACTTTATATACATATATACTTATCACTTTCACCGCCCCAAAGTTGGAGGCTTGTATAATATATTATATGTCACTGTGTGTGTCTTTATACATACATACATACATACAATCATACATACATACATATATATATGTATGTATGTATATATATATATATATATATATATATATATGTATATATATATATATATATATATATATATATATATATATATATATATATATATATATATATATATATAAAATGTATGTTGCTTAATTTATAAATTAAAATGTATTTAATAACAATTCACTCTTGTCCTATGAAATACTGAAACAAAGGTTCTGCATAAGCTTATTGGTTAAGTAAGAAAAGAACTACCTATTATTACTCCTAATTGAATGGGGAGAAAAAAGTTGAATGAGGCAAATCTAAAAGTTTGAATAATGAAAAGTAGTCAATTTGTTGGGCAGGGTAGTTTCTATCAATAGGAGTAGATTACAACTTGATAATCGTAAAATATTTGTAATTGTCTAACTTAATAATTGTAAAATAAAACTTCTATATTAATATATTGATAAACCTAAAAATATTTTCAAATTAAAAACCAAAATTACTTAATGTTTGGATATAATTCCCATTACCTATAGTAAACAAATCCTTAATTTTGAAATTAATTTTTTTATTTCTTTGTTTTTACTAATTTATATAATAGTCAAATTTTTTTGTCTTTATTACTGATTTTTTTTTAAAGTTTTAGTTTTTAATCTCACAGAATCTTTTCTGTGAGATTCTTTAGAGTATTGAGGTATAATTTCCAGGCTAATTGTTTTAACAGATGTTTCTGAAAAATCAGCTTTATTTTTTGTTCATATAAATGTTTACTGTTTGGTTGTTGAATTTTTGATTGCTGATTGACTAAAGTCAATCAGTGATTGATGTTCTGTCACCAATGATTTGAAATCAATTTTCCCAAATCTTTAACTAAGTAAATAGGCTTTTTAAAATCCATTGCAAATATTTTATTTGCAAATGATGTATCATATGCTGCGCTGAGGTAAATTATATATGTTCATAATTCTCCCTGGATTAGTAGGATTATAAATGATACATTCATGAACCGACTTTAAATAAGATTTAAATGACCTAAACAACAAGTTTAACAATGTGCAGTGTGGTAACAACAAGTTTAACAATGTGCAGTGTGGTAACAACAAGTTTAACAATGTGCAGTGTGGTAACAACAAGTTTAACAATGTGCAGTGTGGTAACAACAAGTTTAACAATGTGCAGTGTGGTAACAACAAGTTTAACAATCTGCAGTGTGGTAACAACAAGTTTAACAATGTGCAGTGTGGTAACAACAAGTTTAACAATGTGCAGTGTGGTAACAACAAGTTTAACAATGTGCAGTGTGGTAACAACAAGTTTAACAATGTGCAGTGTGGTAACAACAAGTTTAACAATGTGCAGTGTGGTAACAACAAGTTTAACAATCTGCAGTGTGGTAACAACAAGTTTAACAATCTGCAGTGTGGTAACAACAAGTTTAACAATCTGCAGTGTGGTAACAACAAGTTTAACAATCTGCAGTGTGGTAACAACAAGTTTAACAATCTGCAGTGTGGTAACAACAAGTTTAACAATCTGCAGTGTGGTAACAACAAGTTTAACAATCTGCAGTGTGGTAACAACAAGTTTAACAATCTGCAGTGTGGTAACAACAAGTTTAACAATGTGCAGTGTGGTAACAACAAGTTTAACAATGTGCAGTAGAAATGTTTATAAAATCAGAGTTTTCTTTTACAAATTGTTTGGAATAAAATGTTGGTTTCTGAATTATCCATTAATAACACCACTGGTTAGGGCTCAACAAATTGGCAAATGTCTGAGCTTTTAGCTTAAAATTGACAGAAAAAGAAGCATCAAAGTTGCCAACTTTATACGTTGTCATTTGGTTTAAAATTTAAATGATAAATGCAGTTTTAAATTTGTTTTTAAATATTTATTTTACACTAAACAACATTTTATATTAGGATTTTTTCGTTTTTAAATTTGTTTTTAAATATTTATTTTACACAAAACAACATTTATATTTTAAGATATGATTAGAAAAATTTTTTTTTAATAGTCTTCATGAGCGCTCAGAACTATTAACTATTTTTTAGTTTAAAAATTTCCACTTGATTTAGACGCAGTTTTCTCTGTTTTAGCTAGGGTATTTTACTTCTTTAAGTCTTTGTTAGCCTGGGTATTTTACTTCTTAAGCGCTTGCAATAAAAGTATGAACAATTTTTTAATTGCAACAGATGCTCTTTTTTTTTTTCTATCAAATTTTAATTTTTTTAAGAAAATTGATTTAAATTAAAAAGTAAATGTAAAAGAATAAAAATTAAATAATAAAAATTATACATAAATGATTTTAAGTAATATGATATTAAGTAATTATAATAAGTAATTTATATGCATTTATAACAGAATGTTCTTTTGGAGTTTTTATTTTAATTTGTTTAAAATTTAAAAAAATTGTTCATTTTTTCATTTTTATTTTATATAGAATTAAAATATAAAACTTTCTTTTTGCTTTTTTATTTTAATTATTTTATTCAAAATTAAAATTTAATTTTCATTTTTCTGTTTCATTTTAATTACTTTATTTAGAATTTGAAAAAAAAAAAAACTCAGCTTATTGTTTTTATTTTCATGAAGAATTTAAATAAAATAATGATTTTTTAAATGAATCTTTTTTTGTTTGCCGTTTTTATTTTAATTTCTAAAATTGCGTATCAGTCTAAAAATGTTTGCAGTAAAATCTAAATGGTAAAGGCGTTTGCCAATAAATATCAAAACTTAAATTATTTTTTGTTTAAAAAAAATTGTTGAGCCCTGCTGGGTCATCCACCAATGGCTTAGTGCAAAACAAAGTGTTTTATTATAACTAAAAAATTAAAGGTTATCTGATCACTTTTGTTACATAAACCTAAGCAGTTGGTGCTTCACTTACCATAAAATCCTTGTAGTTTACTCTTGGAATTATAAATACAGGTAGAACTATATTACCCAAAACACTCCTACTTCCCCAAGGCTGAGCTACATTTTTTTTTTTTTTTTGCATAACCAGCATCATAGACATTTTGAAAACTATAATACTAATGACAACATGTTTTTTTTTTTTTTTTTATAAATTCAATATTTCTAATAATAGGAAACATTTTAATTTAAAAAACATCATATATAAACATAAAAGAATAAAGAAGTATTATGTTGCTGTTCTTGGCGTGGTAATTTTTGCTCTTCCACAGGATTTTTCTATATTGATATTGTCTGTTGACTTTTTGCAGTGAATGATATAATGGACATTTGTCTTAGGCTTCTTCAATATCACATCTTCAACATCCAGCATTCATATGTTTAGACTTGCTATTTCCATTAAAAGTTTTATTTGTGCAAGTTTAGCAAATGATGTTTTAGCTCATGATTATTTAGTGTGTTGCAAGCACAAAATTTGCTTTTTTAAGTAATTATAACATTTTATATTGTAATAAGTATATTATAACATTTTATATATATATATATATATATATATATATATATATATATATATATATATATATATATATATATATATATATATATATATATATATATATATATATATGCGGTAGTGGTGTAGTGGTAGAGTACTCGCTTCATAAGCAAGAGGGTTCCGAGTTTAATCCCCAGCACGTCTCTGGTAGTACCCTGCTCAACTCGTTTCTCTACGCAGCGGCCTTGTTTGTCAAGGTTTGTGTTTTGGAGTTATAGAATTAAGAGAGGGTTATAACCACAAATAAGTAGCCTCTTCATCTGTAGTGGCCTTCTTGGCCTTGAGGAGGTGAATTTACAAAAAATAAATATATATATATGAATAATATATATATATATATAAATGTGTGTGTTATATATTTATATATATATATATATATATATATATATATATATATATAATATATATATATATACACATATATATATATATATATATATATATATCAATCTTCTCCGTTTGACGTTCAGTTTTGTGCTTGCCCACATGCCCGCCAATACTACGGCTGGCGCTTTTTTAAGCGCTTGCCAAAGAATTTCAAGCATGTTTTTAAATTGCAACAAATCTTTTTTCTTAATCAAATTCTAGTTAAAGAGGTACACAAAAAATATTTTTTTAAATCTCACACAATAGACAAATAATTACTGTCTAGCGCTTTTTCGTGCACTGGTGGTAAATTTCAAACGGATATATATATATATATATATATATAAATTTATTTTTTATGTAGATGGCTCGATTGTTTTACCATGCTCCACAATTTGCTATTTTGGATGAATGTACAAGTGCTGTAAGTGTAGATGTAGAAGGTTATATGTATGCACACTGCAAGGAGGTAAATATTTTGTTATTTTCTACAATATACTTTAATGTTTAAATGATAAGAGATATTTATGGTTGAATGTTCACATAAGTAGTATCGACAGTTTATACATGTTTAAAAAAATGACAAAAAATCCGCATGGTTGAATAATGACACATGAAGTGTATGACATTATTTTTAGGTAGGAATTACATTATTCACTGTTTCACATCGCAAATCACTTTGGAAATATCATGAGGTACTAACATTTTTAAAAACTTTCAATTACCTGCTTTTACTTTCAATAAAATTATTTATTAATAGCAACATTAAAAGATATAAATATGTAATTAAAATCTTACAGATTTCAATGTTCTTACAAAATATATGCTTTAAAAAGGCTATAGATTACTGCTACTGATAAAAGTATTTTTTCTAAATTCTGTTAAAATTGTTTTCTCATTTAGAAACTAAAAAAAAAAATTGTATTGATTTTAAGTTTTAATCTTTGTTTTCATTGGAATAACATCTAAATTTTCTTTTTTTTAACTAGCTTTGTTAATAAAAAATTGACAGAAATATTTGACAACAACTGTCAAATAGTTCTGTCAATTTTATTAAATATAAGATACATAATTTTCACCCTTGTGATTACCCTGGAAGCCATGAACAGCTCCAAACAAAGTTGTTCTAAGCCGCTTTTTCTAAAGGAGTTTAGAAATGTTTGGTGACACTTCTCAGATTTATGATATGCACATTTTTATCCAACAAAATTCACTGTTTTAGCCTGGATATAGAAGGATCAGCCTTTGGTTACACCTAGATTTGGACCTAGATCTCTGATTAGATAATTTGTATAGGAATAGATTAAGTTTTAGATGATTAATCAGAATGTTTTCAAATAAATATAAATTACTTAATAGCCTAAAAAATTAATTTTGCATCCTAACCGCCTAAGTCCTAACCCTTTTGTAGATACAGAACCAATCACATACAGACAACTTTTTTTTTTTCTTCAGTTTTTTTGGTTTTTTTTTTCTGAATAATGGTTATCCAAGTTTTTATCCATTGTTTCAACATACTTGTAAAAAGTATATATATAAAAAAAATGATTTGAAAAAAGATTTTTTTTTTTTTTAAATATATTCTCATTCATTCCCAACAAGGCTGTAAACAACTACTGTTAAGTTAAGAGTTACCAGGGAGTTAAGTTGGAAATTACCAGGAAAAAAAAGAATATGTTATAGAGCAATGAAACATTTGACAGAAGACTTTAGATCAATTTTAGACAAGAAGTTGTAGGTTGTATGTGTCATGAAGTTGGGAGAGAGTTCCAAAGGGTTGAAGTGCGTGGAAAAAAACCAGATAAATAAAAGTATTGTCTATAGAGCATGTAGGGACAGATACAGTAAACGAATAAGATTTAGCTGAATGGTGAGTCAAACAAGAATGAGTTTTAGTTGATGGAACTAGAGATAATAACTCCTTTGAGCAGCGACCATTATAGTATTTGTAGAAAAGAGAAAAAGATGCAACTTTACAACAATGGTAAAGAGGCTTAAGCTTACCAGATAGAGAGGGTCTAACTACGATTACAATGCATTTTTGGATGTTGTCTTGTAGAGAAAGAGCATCACTAGTATATAAGTGTTGATAAACATATCAAGTGTAAAGAAAATTGTTTCTATGCACATATTGTTAGATAAAAAGATGTTATTTTTTATTAAACAAAAGATAATAAACGAGGAAATATTTTTTAAATAAAGTAAACAAAAGTGTATTACTAGTTATCATACTAAGAATTTCATGTGAAATTATCATTTAACAGTTTTCTGTAGAAGAATTTATTCCAAAAGTTTCAGTTTATCTCAGAAACGAATGGGTCTAGAAACTTGAAAATTGAAACGAATGGGTCTAGAAACTTGAAAAATCGAAATATTTTTAACAAACGCTACAAAAGGAGATATCTAGTTTACTTCCAGAAAAGTTATTATCAGAATCTTTCGATATAAATGTTATCACTATAATAAATTCAGATGACTTTAAATTGAGTTTTCTCAAAAATCGCTTAATCGATTCTAATTAATTTTTTTTAATGATGCATGTCTGATAATCAATTAAAAAAAAAATTCATATTGAAAATCCATTGTGAATATCCAAAAAAGGCAATTGGATGAGTTAAACATTTTCTTAATTTAGTGACAAAAAAAATTGTGCATTTTAGAAGAACATTATTCATGTTTGTTAGTCATTGCCTCGCCTACTAAGTAAATCGATGATGAGACAATAAATTAGGAGATCAAAAATGACAAGCTTATTAATTGTAATGTTAAAAATTATATATTTATATATATATATATATATATATATATATATATATATATATATATATATATATATATATATATATATATATATATATATATTGTTAGTGTATTCTACAAATAGAGAGTGCTCAATGTTCTTAAAGAACAGAGCAATAATAAATTAGTAAAAGCACTTATCTAGACTTTTTCTTCGAGAAATTGTTTCTCTATCAGTAGGTTCATCAGGAAGAGTGTCTTAACATCAGAAAAATTCAAACTATAGAAAAAATATGGGAATTTTTATTTTAATTAGTTATGCTATAACTGTAGTTGTTTTATAACTAGGAAGTTGCATTAACTATATAAATAAATTAAAAAATTATTCATGAAAAGAATATCTTTAGAAATAGGATAACTTAATTTTGCTCATTTATTTTTAAAGGTACTTTTTTCATGTCTGCATTTAGAAATTAATTCAGATTTTTTGTTTTGTAAATTTTCTTGATCCGAATGAGTAATAATTTCGAATTTTTCTTGCAAACATAGTATACATTTTTTGGAAATGTTATTATAGGCAGGTGCAGGTTTTGGAATAGTCCAGTTTAATTTAAAATTAGTATTTTTTTATTTTAGTTGCCAAATATATTTTTGCAGCATAGTCACTTGAATATTTAAAAGAGCATTATGTTTAAAAGATTGTTTGTGGTTGGTATAACGTTTTTTCCATTCGGTAATTTAAGAAAAAAATATAAAAAAAGCATGCAAAACTCAAATTTTACAAACTTTTTTTTCTCAAATAGTATTTGTAATTAGTTCGTAAATATGAATCTGTAAATATAATAATAATATTTATATGCAACCTGCTGAAATAATTCTTTAGCAAAACAGCAATTTGAAAAATGCATACTCTTAATATCTAAAATAAGCAAATTATTAAAATAAATGATCAAATTTAATCTTAGTATTATTAAGAATCACCAAATTAATTATATTTACAAAAAAAAAATTATTAATTTTTAAAAATAAACTTCTTTTTTTTATAAAAATTAGTGAAATTTTGAAATACTCTAACTTCGGTCATTCACGGATAACAACGAAGAAGACAATTAGCAGTAATATTGTGAAATATTGATGAGTGTTGCGAATGTAAAATGCTCTTTCTTGTTTTTTTTTTTGTGCCCCAAATTTTTTGAGCCCGGGCGACGCCCTCCTTAGTTTCTGGTATTACCTGAATTTATATCATAATTTTACAATAAAACTACATTTAAAAAATAGTTTTCATTATTTGTGACGTTAAGTTTGTGATATGATATTAGTATTTATATAGTGGCCGAACTTATGAGTTGTTATTGAAAGTTCGGTCAACGTAGATGTTTTCATTTTAAATTAAATACTAAAACTAGTTTTTATTTTTCATTTTTTTATTTTTACAATATCTATTATCAATATAATTTTCTGTTTCAGGAAAAAAAATTGAAAATGTATGTATGTATGTATGTATGTGTGCATGTATTAAATTCTACATTTTTAGTATGTATTATACATGGATGGAAAAGGATCGTATGAATACAAACCAATCGATGAAAGTAATACAGAGTTTGGTTCTTAGTGCAAGATCGTAAATGAGAGACAATTTTTTTACTATTTAATAAATTGCGAGTTTTGTCTACTGGCGGTTATTGCTTTTTCGAGCATATATATATATATATATATATATATATATATATATATATATATATATATATATATATATATATATATATATATATATATATATATATATATATATATATATATATATGTATGTATATGTATATATATATATATATATATATATATATATATATATATATATATATATATATATATATATATATATATATATATATATATATATATATATATATATGTATGTATATCAGTTAAATTACTATCTTTTTAAGACTTTTATGCAACATGTTGGATCAATATCATTTTTATACCTGATATACATGAAAATAAATGAAAACCAAAAAAATATAATTTTTAATTAAAGGTTTATTAAAAATTTAATAGTTTTTTTAATATTAAATTTTTAATGAAAAGACATCGAAAACTGTAATTTATTTTTACTTGGTGTCAAATGGTAATGATGAAACATCTAGTATAAAATCTTTAAATAGATTTCTGAATATCTAATAATTATTTTTAAATTGCTGCTATCTTAGGCTCTTTACAAATGTATATATATATATATATATATATATATATATATATATATATATATATATATATATATATATATATATATATATATATATATATATATATATATATATATATATATATATATATATATATATATATATATATATATAATATGAATATATTTATATATTTGTGTGTAAGTGTGTATATATATATATATATATATATATATATATATATATATATATATATATATATATATATATATATATATATATATAAACATATGTATATATATGTATGTATTTATATAGTTGTTTTTCATAATTTTTTAAATTGTTTTTTTATTTTAAATTTTCTTGTTTATTAGTTTGAAATTTTTTAGGATGATGCTGTTAATTTTACTTTTACAATTGTATGCGTTTATACTTTTATGCGTTTAATTTTATTTTGAATTAAAAAAAAAGTTTATCAAATCAATAGATCTCTTTAAGAATTAAATTATCAAAAACATCTAAATTTTGAAATTTTATTTTAAAAATCTTAATTATAGAAATTTCAGCTCAATATTTTTAAAGCTAAGCCATTGTAATATTTCGTAAAATAATTAAATAGAAAAATAAACAATGTTATGAAAAATGTGCAAAAAATCAAGTAGTAGTACAAACACCTGGATTAAAATTTTTAAATTTTACTTGATCATAACTTTTGAATGTCATAAATATTGTCGATCCGAAGTTATCAAAATATCAGAACCTCCGTATTACTGAGTTGCGTTTCTTTTACGATATGTAAGCATTATCAGTGCATATAAATCAGCGCTCGTCCAGCCTTTTTCAAATAAACTTTTCTTAACTTCTAAAAAAAACTTTGTAAAAAGTGTTTAACAAAAAAAAAAAAAAAAAACTGGACTATAAACTTGAATTTTTGATCAACTTTATTTTCTATCAGCTTTATTTTTTACCAACTCAATAAATATGTAGATTTCTGGGTGCGAATTCGTAAGTCCTAAATTTGCGTAAAGTTTACGTATGTTTTGCTCAAGTTCAAACTTAACGCAAGAAAAGTTACGTCTGCTATTTGCTGACTTGAGTTTGGTGTAACGTAATATCTAATACTATTTAAAAATGGCGTTTTTATTATTGTAAAAGATTTCAGATTTGTTATTGCTAACAAAATATAATTTTATAATAATTTTATACTGCTATACGTTATTTATTTAAATAATATAACTATAACTTTTTTTTAACAGCAATAACGATAGCAATATGTTTACCAAAAATATAGATGTACTATAACTTGTTTTCACCTTAAGTTTAAGGTTAAATAAATATACATACAATTTATATAATAGATGTTTCACTCTCTCATAGCCTAGCTAAAACAAGAAGAGTGACCATAGTATGGATATATCATATAAATTTGTAGTAAGCCAATAACTTGTTAAATAAATTAACTTAACTAGTTATTTTCATACTTCAAAATTATATGATGTATCATATTGTTATACTATATTAACTTAGGGTTGTATCTATACTAAACTATACAATAATATTATTGACGCATATACTTTAACTAGCATAAAGCGAAAGAGAGAGTCTCTCTGTGTACGAGAGATGGAAAATATGTGTGCCAATATAGATACAATATTCACAAAAATATGTAATTTATTCATTAGTTTTTAGATAATCTATTATTTTATATTATTTATTAAATATCTAATTTTTTTTATCTATAAACGAGAACGAGGCTATTTCAAAATATAACAATGTTAAAATTATCTCTGAGTAATCAGGCTATTGAAGTAACAAAGTATTATAACCTAAATATTAAACTTACTTTGAATAATGATGCTATGTTTTCGGATAATTTCAGTTATCCAGAGCTGTGTGACTATCTAGTTGATATAAATCTACATTTGTAACTTCGATGCGTACAGTTTTAGTTGAATAATGTATTTTTCATAATATGTTATGGAAAATTTGTTGAACTTTTGTTTATGTTTTCAAAAATGTTCTTTATATTTCTGACAATTTTGTTTATAAATGGTTTTAGTTTATTTTTGTTTATAAATAAACTAGAATGCAATCAATAGTATTTCTTGAATTTATTGAAGCAATTTCTTTATTTAATGAAACTGTCATTACCTATAGCAAATAAAAGTGTTGTTAATTCAAGTCAATTATGTGATAAAACAAGACCACTGAAAAGAAAAATTGACAATAATTATGATATTTTCTTATACCCTAGTGTATGAGAAGTGAGAATGTTAAAACAAGAAGTTAAAACAAAATACTTTAGTTTAGCACTTCCAATATTTTATGAATGTGAAATTTTATGCTAAACTAAAGTACTTTGTTTTAACTTCCTGAAGCTATGCTAGACAAGTTGCATGATTTGAGCAGAGGTGAACCAGACCTTTTTTGGTACCATAGGACCGGTATGGGCGCCAAGAAAATGCCTCAAAATATTAATTTTTTGTTGTTTTTCTTTTTATATTAAAAATAGAAAAAAAAAGTTCTTTCAAATGCAAGTTTTTTGTATATTTTAGCTACTTTATTTAGCCAGTGAAATTTACAAATAAGGTTCGCAGCAGGGTTAGGGTTTTATAACTCTCCACATCAAAAGGGTAGCTCAAAAATAAACTCAAGGTTCATCACTGCTAAGAAAGGAAAAAGCAGAGGTTAAAAATAATTTTTTAACTACTCAAATAGTTAAATAAACAATTCAAAAATTATAGTATTAAAATAACAGTACTATACAATTGTTTGAATGATTATATAAAAACAATGGTCATTCACTGTTGGCATCATACAGGAAGCCAAAGAGTTATCTTATATAAGCTCAGGATATTACAATTTATATTACCCATTTGAGTGTTGGTAAATATGCCCCAATTAGTTCTTATTGAGTGCTTGTAATGTTTATGTTTATAATAATAGATGTGAATCATTTTGTTAATAATTAATCTCATTTAAAAAACCAACCGACTCTTATTTGGTCAATTTTTCGATTATTGATTATTTTGCTAATAGATATTCAAAATAGATTGAAAGACTGTTTATGCTATATATGCTATTACTTTTCAAAGTAATTGCACGTATATGCTATATGGGGCTATTCAAATACTACGAAACACTTTTTTTTTCTGTTTTTAGACTCAACCCCCTCCTTCCTCCTCCCTTTGTATATGTGGCATTTTAAACAATCCCTCCCCACCCTCTTCGTGACGTGACATTTTTAAACAAATATATCTTCGAGTTTGTTACTTTTTGCTTAAAGTTTAATAATCCGCTGTGATTAGAACTTAAATTTTAAAAAATTTGTCATGTCACACTGTGGCTAACCTCCTCTCCCACGTGATATTTGGTGACACTCTCAAACACCCTCCCACCACACCACCACCACCTATTTAAGAATGTCACGTATTATTTGAATAGCCACTATATGCTTTTGCTATATATTTTTAAATATAGCAACAACAAAAAAAATAATTCAAGCCTAAGTAAATGTAAGCCCTGCCTCTAAAAAAAGATGCATTGACTGTTCGGTCACTTTGCTTTGTATGTCTTAATAAAAAAAGATTTAGTAATACCAACTACTACCTTTATACAAATAGTTATAAAATATTTGCCTCAAGTTTTGCGTAAGTTTTGTGTAACCCATGCGCAACCTTAACTTTATGCACATGCTGCGTAAAAGTTGTGAATACCAAATTGTTACGCAAAAAATAATTTGAGTAAGTTTTTCGTAACTTTTGCTCAGCTACGTAAGAGTTACGCAAAATTTGTGAATCCGCACCCTGTTTTTTGTTTATTACAGTTAAACCCATGCTAAAACCTATCAATCGATTGTATTCATATAATCTTTTGTATCCCTAAATGCCAATTTAAATAACTTTCCATTTTGTTTTATAATCTTGTATTTTATTATAATAAAATGTTAATTGTTTGTTTATGCCTATTCCTATGTGTCAGTCGTATCATATTATCATTATATAAAAACATCATATTGTAATATAATATAAAAATATCATATTATAAAAGTATACAAAATACACTTGACTTGAAATATGTTATAAAGATGTGTTGAAAGGAAAATTGTCTGTATTTTGTTAATTATTGTTAATACCAAGAAACATAATAATAGTAAAAATCAATTTAAACCCATATGGTAGGGAGGTAAATAAGCTACTTTCTAAAATTCTTCATTTTAACTCTATTAGTTTATTAAAACTGTAAATACATACATACTGAGAAATTGCTTGCGTAAAAAAAACTTTTTATTTTACAAAAACAAAAGTCCATATCGGCGGAAAATGTGGTAATTTTGTTAAATTTTGTTAATTTAACCATTATAAATGATGTTTTTGAAACATCATAACCTAATAAAACAAAACCAAAATTAAAAATTCTTTTGCACATATGAATTACATTATATTATACTCCGGATGACCGATAGGATTTGAATAAACCATTTTAC